ACGCTCTGTCCCGTGCAGATGCTGAGGAATGGACCGAAGCGGCCCTGCTCGAGTTGCTGGCGCATCTGCGCAACGGCACTTGGACAGTAGTGGAGCTGCCGCCTGGCAAGGTGGCCATTGGCTCGCGCTGGGTGTTTAAGCTCAAGCGCAACCCGGACGGCACCATTGACCGCTACAAGGCTCGCCTCGTCGCCCAGGGCTTCTCCCAGCGTCCCGGGTTCGATTATTTCGAGGTCTTTGCCGGTACACCGCGTTTTGAGGCCATCCGCGCCGTCCTGGCGCTCGCTGCGTGCGAGGATCACCACCTGCGCTTCATTGACGTCTCCAACGCGTTCCTCAACGGCGAGATAGACGCGGAGGTCTACATGCGCCAGCCTGAGGGCTTTGAGAGCGGTGGACGCAATCTGGTGCTTCGGCTCAACAAGGCGGTCTATGGGCTCAAGCAGGTCCAAATCTTCAGGGGACAGCATTTTTCTCTATGCTATTGTCAGCCTTCTTCCCTAATCAGCCCACAATGCCCCTATCATACACCCCCCACTCACGTATTGATGGTACTCTGCTGCGGGCTTATCACATTTGTGTCACACTTCATGATGTATTTGTTAACACTGCTCTTTCCTGTGGTTAATTAGACATCTCAGCTCTGCTCAATACATGACTAAAATCCTATGGTGGATAGCTTTCTCCAGATTCTTCAAAGACCTTGATCAGGTTCTTGCACAAGTTGCCCAGACTTCGGAACACCCATACCTATAAAAGACTCTCACTGGGAGTGCCTTCTCAACTCTGTCCATGCATTTAACGATCACTGTGTGGAAGGATTCTGCTTTTGTACAATTGTTAAATTCTGGCTCTCTATTTGAATTTCTTTCATTTCGTGTTTTTGTTCGCTGTCTCGTGCTCCTCGGACGGACTCGTACTGTACACCATCGTACTCGCCGTCCTCCAAAACCCCCTACACCATTTTTCCCGGATTTATGCGCTTACTCTACGGCTCCTGACTCCCTCCTACCTCATTGGGACTGATTAGATCACTGTTCCCATCTCGGCTCTTTCTGGTCCGCTTGCCCTCGCTCTGGCTCGGTTATTTCCGGTTCCTCACGTGCTACTGTACAGTTTCACACGCCTCACGTGCCTGCAACATGCCTGCACACACAGAGCAAGCTCCTTTCTCTCTTTTCCCCCACTTGCTTATTCTCTGTGTGCTGCAGAGCATTGTGCTTTGTTCTTAGGCTGCACATTCAACAGGCACACCCACCTGGCACTCAGCAACCCAAAGTTAATGATCTCAACCTCAGATCTACTTTGCTATTAGATGTGCTCTAAAGAGGGCTGAAGAGCTGCAAGCTGTTAAAGTATGATGCATAGAATATCATGGAGCTTTTAGACCCGCCCACATGTCGACTGCAAATAGACAATTAGCTATGATATACAGAGTTGATGTGCACTATGCTCACCTATTTAGGGTACTGAGCACCCGATGCTAAGGGTATCATGGTGAGGGTACAAGGGGAATGAGAGGCTGAGGTATCAACCTTTCGCCACTGGGGCGGGAAAGCACAGAAGTACAGGTCGCTTGTTATCCTGAACGCGCCCACAGTAAGCTATGCAATCAAAGACAGGTGGGGATAAGTACACACTTCGACAAAAAACCAGAGACTAAGTGTCTCGGGTTCAATGGCTTCCAGCGCGGATGTCTAGACGTTCGATGTCGACAGGTGCGTTGCAAAGGACTCCAGCCATTCGGTGAGAGCCCGGTGCTGTTTGCATATGTGTCCTAGATACCGATTGATCACCGAAGCCGCGCAACATCCTCGTGAGCAGCGAATCATCGGTTCTATATTGATCATTGGTTCTCGTCAGTAGAACTCTTATGACAGACTCACTTCACAGTCATAGACATGGTGGGATGGGTAGTGCGCTCGGCACGGGACACTGAGAAAACAAACAAATATGGGGCAGCACGATGACAAGTGAGAGGCACCGCAGTGGGGTCATGAAGGACAGGAGAAATCTTGAGAACTAAAGTCAGAACCACATAAGGGAAGATGGTGGTCATTAGTCTCATCTGCGGAGTGGCCGTGCGCCTTCGCAGCACTTCATCTTTGTGTGGCAACTCTCGAGCAAGTCTACAATCCCGTAGTTCTTGCTAGACAATGGGATCAAGAGGAGGGGAAACAAATTCATAGAGAGAGCCGCTGCCCTGTATATTGCCTGGGTGTAGCCTGGAGCACTGAAGTATATGAGTATACAGTATGAAGAGTTATGTGTGAGACACACTCTGTACTGCACTTTGGAATTGTGGTGAAGGTAACTTTGTCCCCACATAGTGGGGGAAGGATGCTGCAAGACGGAATTATCGAGTGCTGGTGTGAATTGTAGATTGGTGTTTGCCAGTGGGAAGTCAGCTGTTGGACCGTTATTAGTGTTTGGAACTCTCTATAAAAAGCAGGCATACACTTATTATACAATCAATAGGCACAGCCATCTCCCTGACCAGCGCAGGTTCTGCATGAGCTCCGCCCGACAGCATGCGCGCTGCATCACATCAGCGGTGAGGCAGAAGAAACAATGCATGTTGACGCCAGCTGTTGATCTTGCTAATGGCACAGGTACGTGAGCCCCTAGCAGCGACCTGTGTGCTGTTGAATGCGCAGCCTAGGAACGAAGCGCAACACTCTGCAGCACACAGAGAA